GTTCGACCGCCACTCGTGCTTTCGCTTCACGCTCTCACTGCGACAGTCGAGTGTGCGCCGTAAGAAACACATTGCAACCTCAGACTCTGTCCGTGAGTCAGTAGTAGCCCGGCTACACCAGATACACCGTGAACTAACGTCAACCCTAAGTAGGCGTAAACTGGGTCTTTATCAGTAGTTTACCGTCGATCCCCACCAACCCCCCATGGCGAGCCTCACACACCCCCTCCTCACCGCCTTCCGCGCGTCCAAGCCCGCGTTCGGCGCCTGGATCACGCTCCCGGGCGTGCTCTCCGCGCGCACCGCCGCCGCATCCTCCCCGCACCTGTCCTGGGTCGTGCTCGACTGCGAGCACGGGGCGATCTCCATCCAGCCCGGCGCGGCGGAGAGCGCGCATGCGATCGCGGGGCTCGGGGCGGCGGCCCCGACGACGATTGTGCGCATCCCCGCGACGGGCGCGTGCGCGGACCGCAGCGCGGGCTGGCAGATCAAGTATGTCCTCGACGCGGGTGCGCGGGGCATAATCGTCCCCATGGTGCGTTAATCTGGTACTTTCTTAGTCTATGGGTGATGCAATTACTGACCAGTGACCTGCTAATAGGTGTCGACGCGTGCGCAGGCAGAGTCTGTCGTCGCAGCGTCGCGGTTCCCGCCGCGGGGCGTGCGCGGGTTCGGGAGCCCATTCACGCACCTCGCGTGGGGCACCAGCGCCGGCAAGCTAGCCCTCGATTCACATAATATATTTTTGTTGCGCGTCCGCAAGAGCGCAGGCCGTCTGCGCACGTGCAGGACTGGGACGAGGAGCGGGAACGCCTTCGTCGAGCAGAGGCGGTGGCGGTGCGCGACTCGGCGACGGGACTTGGGTGTGGCGCGGACTCTGCCCTGCGCGGCGGATCTCGCTTGCAACATGCCGTTGAGATCTCCCGGATGGATTCACGTACTCTGCGTGAATTCTGGTGTCTAGTAGGCGCTGTAGGGGGTGCTATGGGGAGAGGGGAGGGAGCAGGAAGGAGACTCAGGGAGGGGCTCGGAGGCAGCTCGTTCTCGCACTATGGGCTGGCTGAACAGTGCATGAAATTGGCATTATAGAATATACATGTAAGGGACACTTCTACATCGTGCATGCAGCGACGGACAAACACATTCCAGCCGTCCAGTGCACTTCGCGCAGGAGGAGAGACACGGGCGCCTATGTGGATACCGCTCGCATCTGCAAAGTCTCGCGCCGCCCCCGTTTCCCTCCACCACGGCCGTCCTTCTGCCCGCATGTCTTCCTCTACACGCCCTCCCTGATCCATGCTCCTTCGACGCCGAGTCCGCCGTCTGCTAGTCGCGATGGGCCGGGAGTACTCTGCGTGCATGACTCGATTAGACCTGTCGGCGCGCGGGTGCGCACACCGTACCGTGCATTCCGTGTCGCTATTCCGAAACAGGGCGCACCACGCGTGCGGGAGCCCGACGAGGTAAGCGCACCGCTTCGTGCGTGCCAGGGAGCCGTCCGGCGCGACCGGAACGTGTGTGGTGTTCCAAGACTTCGTGTGCGGCCTGTAAATCCTGGAAAGTCAGTTCGACGCCGAGATCCGCACGTAGCGAGCAAGATAGCACGTACCGCGTCGCCTCGACAACGCGTGTCCATTCACGCCCGCTAAGTGCACCCAGAAGGCACCCAGCGTCCCGCGCTGCCGTCGAGTCTGATGCTCTCGCGGGAGTGGAAGACTTGGTGCGCGCCGGGGCGTCGTGGGCGCGCTCGGGATGTTTCCGACGCAGCGTACTGCGACTTCGTGGGCGGCCTGGGGGCCGGGAAACTCAGTCGGACGCCATAAACTGCGTGAGCTGTACGTACCACATGTCGCCCACGCCCACGCACGTCCGGGACACGCAGCGTGCGATTGCGTACGTAGGGCGCGCTCCAGAACTGTCAGAACCCGCCCTGCTGCCTCGCGAGGGCCGTGTCTTGCATCGCTGCCAGGTATGAGCGCGTGGGCGGATGGAGAAGGATACACTGCGCGAACGATCAGCTTAGCGGATGAATACATCTTGAAAACACAGCTAACCTGTTCAGTGCGCTCTCGAGGCTCGTGGACATCTAATCCGCCGGCTGTGATGAGTCCTGCACGCCGAACGGGAGCGCAAGGAGACGTCCGCGCAGAGGGCGCAACTCTCCCCGAGCAGCGCATCTTCCAAGATTAAAACGCCCGCCAACCAAGGTGATCATGTGCAAGGGTTAATATGGTGCAGAAGAACTCTGGTCGCCGATGAGACAACTTCGCGGAGTCGGGAGGAGTCGGGCGCCTATTTTGACGCAGCCCGAAATCGAGAAGTCTTGCCTCGACCCGTCGCGGCTTTCCTCTGCTCCACGTCCCTTGTCCCTTCTCGTGCCGTTTCTCTCGTCTCCCAATCCCTTCCCCCGACATCAGCGCTCGATGCAAGTTCTGCAAGGCCGGGCCGGTCAGCGGGAACACCAAAGCTGCAGAAAGAAAACAGTGCGTACTCGGGTTTGTTCGCGCAGGCTCTCTCCAGACAGTGCAACACGCGTGCCCGGAACGCAGACTGAGTGCCCGCATTCGTTGTCCACCCGAGAAGGGAGTGGCTGCACCGCCGGAGTGTGTGCACCGCGTCGAAGGAGTTGCCACTCTTCGTAACGGCCCGGGAGCGCACTGCAGAGACGATGATAGGTGAGTGAATGTCTCGGGAGACGGAAACGGAAGCTACACGCACTGCGACACAATTTCGCCTTTCCAGAGGCAGGTGGGCGCTTATTTGAACGTGGCTCGAAACTGGTCAGTCTCGTGCCGCCGTTCTTCGCTGTCCCTTGGCTCGTTTCACTTTCTGGGCCTCAGTCTGGATTCCTTTTCACGCTGCGAGGTTGGGCTGCGAGTGAGAAACGAGGTCGCCATCCGCACGCGAGCTGCAACACTCGATCTCTAATCTGTAAATTCGAGATCAGTCAGATGCAAGTAGTCAAAGTCATGAGCCAGAACGGTGCGTACCGTGTTTGTTTGGTACCCGCAGAATAGTTGCGAAGCTCGTGGAGGTACGTCCCAAACGAGGAGCGCGTGCTCGTGTCCATCGCGGGCGCTCTGGATGCCGGTGGGACTTGAGACTTCGCCTGCACCATGAGAATGTGCGCGTGAGCCTGCCACAAGCAGCAGCGAGTCTTCGCGAGACAGAGTGGACGGGTGCAGAGGCTGGCTCGTCAAGCAGGCACGGCCGTCAACAAAGCCAGGAGGAGAGCGAGAGGGAGTCTGGAGACAGCCGCGGCCCGGGCAGCGCTCCGTGAACTCGGCGCTTATCTGAACGCCCGCGCGATCGAGGAGTGAGTCGCGCCGACTCGCGCGCGATCTCTTCATTCTGCTCCACGATCTGTCTCCGGTCTTCCACTTCGTCCTCACGCTACACATATCCGCGGAATGGTTGTAACGGTGGAAACAGACGTCTACTGCGGCATAAGACTCAGCTAATCACTCGCGCGCGTGCACAGCAATCACAGTACGTACCAAGCACCTTTATCAAACTTGTTTACGAGACGCCGGCGTGTCCCCCCTCCTCGCGCGCTCCATTCCTAATCTTAGACTAGCTACCGGGCATCCGCGATGGATTCGGGCGATTCACGCCCCACTGGGAAAGTCAAAAATGCCTCGCATCGACGCTGCAGGGACGACGCGCAGGCACGAGACCGACAGGGTGAGTGGTGTGATTTCTTGCGTTATGGCAGGGATATGGGCGTGTCTACCGCCGGCGGCGTTTGCTGGCGGCGGACACCTCCGGCGCAGATGCGAAGAGCGGATCGCGTGCGCACGAGTGGTCTACGAGTCGTTGTATCGGTATACAGCTTGCCACACACGGGCAAGAAGGGGCGTACCTTTTGATAGACTGCAAAGTGCGCCGGAGACGCACGCGGCACTCTCTAGCTGCTAGAGGTGTGTAGAGTGGCGAGTGGCGAGTGAGGGGCGCTCGACGTGTCGGGAGGGTGTGCCCCGGGCTTGTTCCCCGTACTGTACAGTCCAGGGACATGTGGTAGCCTAGGAGAGCGGTGTCCACTACGGCGAGCACAGACAGCATGCGACACGCTACCTCGCTGTCCTCTGTGCGGTGTGTTCGGGCCTCCTCGACGACCCGTTGAGCCGTTGGCAGCTGCGCTGAGGGCGGGAGCACATGTACTGCTGGATGAGCAACAACGCTGAAGTTGTGTCCACCTCGTCGCGCTATCGGGCGTCCTGGCTGGTGAATTGCTGGGTAAAATCCCCCGTAGCACAACAGAGGTGGCGGTTACCACGCGTGGGCACACATCTCTTGAGTACCACTGGCCTGTCCTGAATGCGGGCCCATGTACTCACCTCTCTCGCCTCGTGCTCTAAAACTTGCAGCAGCCATCTTGTGGCAGATAGGGTGTGTCCAGCGAACGGATGAGTGTGCAGAGGATGGGAGGATGATGCTGGGACATGAGACGAGTGGTGGCGGCAGGGAAGGGAGGAGCATGGAGAGAGGATGTGTGTAAGCGAAATCTCCGGACGTTGCGAGGGCGGGTGGGCATGTCAAACAAGGCACGGTGGGTCTGGCCCTGGCTGGGTGTGGTGCGGACGGAGCGGGCAATTTGGACGCGGAGATCTCGAGCTGTGCCGCGTAAGGACGCGCGGCGCGAGTGTCGTGAAGCAGCGGGTGTTTCGGGGGTTGTCCGGTCTGATGCTCCCCTTTACGTAGCTGTATCGCCCTGTACATTCCACCAATAGTATCTCTGGGTTTGTGGATACAGCGTGATCGGGCATCTGGTCGCTCTGGGAGTATCCTTACTTCTGGGGAACATATCTTATTCTTACGTTCTGATGCACACAAAAATGACCATGGCTCTAGGCCCATGGTTCGGTTATTCACACAGACATACTCCGGCAAGCTCTGCAGGGCCCGCCTA